TTTGATCTCATGATAACTCCTAGAGTAGGGATCGGCCGACCTAAACTCTACGGATTTACTTCGTGACGTTTCGAAACCCTTGTCAGCCTAATCAAGTCGAACTTTATAAATCGCTAAGTCAGACAAGTGGTTTACTCGAGTAACGGACGCCAGTCCGAGCAAAGCTCCGAGCAACAGTTTGCTAGGTTCGGAAAGGAAATCGAATCGGAGAAAGATAAATCTCAGATAGACCCCCCGAATTCAAACTAAGACTACCACCGAACTGAGACCTAGAACCTGACCAAAATTATGCTAAGGCAAATTCACAGACAAGGTCTGAGGGTCCGATTTTCAAACAGGGTTACTTAAGGGATTAACGAACTCTGATAACCCTGAGGCTAGATTCGATGAGTACGAGGCAAGCTTACGTCTCTAAACATTGAACTAAATCCAAAAGAAAAAATATATACGCTAAGGCATATTTATAAAAGGAAAGAGCAAAGTCTCTGTGACAAACACCGAAACAAAAGTTAAAACCCCTCCGCGAGGGTACAACAACAGAAGCTTAAGAAAAATAGATAAACTCCACATACGGAGGTAGCGCTAGTAAAGAAGCATTGCGGAAGGCCAAGTCACTCTTTGGAGACCTCAACGTCGTCGTCAACGCGAGTATCTATCTCCTGCGCTCGAGAAGCGTTCGTCGAGGACTCCGGATGGCTCGGCGCTGGATGACTGGTGCCCTGATCCTCATCCGTCAACGGCGGATTTGGTCTCGCCTTGTCGCTGTAAACGGATTTAGCCCGTCCAGAACCATCGAGACTTGAGAACTCTATCTCATCCGAAGGATAGGGATTCTGCCAAGCGCCATCTGAAACGACCGGAGAGCGCAGTTCAGCAGCAACCGCAGGATTAAGCTCATCCACATTCGACGCGTTCGGGTCAAACCCGTCGACAGCGTCCCTGTTGTAACCAGCCATCATGAAGTTGAAGATCGTGTCGCTGAAGTACCTGGAGGACTGAACCAATGGCGACAAGACGTAATCGTTTGGATCAGGCGACCCGGGGTACAGTGTCTCGGCCTCCGCCTTGCGGACCTTCTCCTCTTCCTTAAACTCATCTATCTTAACCTGCGGTATCGCCACCCCTTCGTCCCTCATCGTCTCCAGGCACTTTCGCGTCCCGAAGGCCTGAACCCAGTAGCCCCGCGCGTCAAGCTGCACATCCCAAGCTTTGAGACGCTTGAAACAGGCTTCCGCCTTCTTGGTCATTGCATGAAAGGTCTTCGCGCGTTCGCGCGTAACCTCCAGAAGTCGACTACCTCTTAGGTGAGCGGCCTCGAAGTCGGCGTCCTGAGTAATCTTCTCAACTTTAGCCTCAAGTTCGGCCTTTTCCTTCTCAAACTCCGCAGCAGTGGCCCTAGGAACCCTTAACTCCTCCGAGATACCCTCGAGATCCTTGGCCCGAGTTTCCGCCAAGCCAATCGCTTCTTTCCGCGCAAGTTTCGCTTCTGCAAGCGAAGCTTCGAGCGAGATAGCGCGTTCGCGTTCACGACTGGCTGCATTCTGCGCATCTCCGAGTTTAGCATACGCCGCCTTCAGCTCACTATCATACTTCTCAACAAAGGCGTTCACGCCTTCGTCAGCCTAAAAATTTTACACACATCAGCATAAGTTCGAAAGAGTATTCATCATACTCGAAGGAGGAAGGAGAAGACAACTTACCGCCTCCTTGAGGCGAGTTACGTTCAGGTAAGCGTCGCGGAAGGCGAGTTGATCAAAACCCGGAAGGATCCTCGGGTCGCGGACATGAACCGGATCAGCCGACGGGCCAGTTCCCTCGTCGGAGTGAGTAACCTTCTTCATTGCGTTCTACTTCTTCCTGCTGGCCTTCTTATCCTTCTTCCCAGAACCTTTAGCAGGAACTATGTCCTGCCCGATCAGGGCATCCTCGTTCGAAGGATTCGGGGCATTGCGGTCTTGCTCCCCTTCAGCCACTCTCTCGGAGGGGTCGTTGACGTCATCGTCATTATGAGCTCCCAAACCCTCCTTGGAAGCAGATCCGCCACCCGCGGGCTCAGAGACCTTCTTTTTCTTCTTCTTCTTCTTCCTCAAGGGAAGCTCAGCAGACGGACTACCGCCACTCGGGTCCACTTGGACGTCAGAGGTCGCAGCCCGTGGTCTCTTCGAACCGCTCATACACTGTTCGGTCATATCGGGAGCAGTGGTCTCTGGGAGAAAGAGAGCCGCGTTACCAGAAGGATCTCCTCCTCCCAAGTCGAAGCTATCGATCACATTCATCAATTGAGCCGCTTGCGACGTCCCCTCTTTCTTCTTCTTCATTGCTTGGGAAAGATCAACAGGCTCTTTCATCGCTAACGCTTCCTTGATTACTTGTTGCTCTTCTGCTGTGTAGAGGTTAGCTCTCTTCTTCCCGGGTCTGACCTTGCACCCAGCGTCCTCTTCCCAATCAGCTGCCGGAACAAAACGGCATTTAAAAAAAAAAGAGAGAAAAGAAAGCAGAACAGGCGGGAGCTCGCAATACCTTGATTAATGCGCTCTGACGAACGTCGGATCCTCTCCTCACTAATATCGGGCCAAAGTTGATGACCTAGTTCGACTAGAGCTCGAGCGGTGGACAGAAACGAAGGAGGAACAAGGGCGTCGGACATATAGTAGCTGGGATGCGGTTCTGCACAACAAAAGGAAAAACAGTTAGAACAAACAAAATCGACCGCAGGAAAGACGAGCTAACTACCCGCTACACTGTTCCAATAGGTCCTAAAGTCGTCAGTTGGAGGATCAACGAAAGCGAACTGGTCAGACTTGACGTAGAAATACGAACGCTGCCATTTCGGGGTCTTCTCAGGGTGACCAGTGATGATGTTGTAATTCTGCCTCATCCGAATCGAGAACAAGCCCGGATTTGATTGAAGATTCAGGCAAGAGATGGTTGTCAGCTGTTCGAATGAATAGACGCACAACGACACGTCGATCTCAGCGGCCATGACCATGAGAGCGACCATAATTCGGTAAGCCCCGTTCACCATCTGACTCAAGGCGAGATCTCGGCGCGAAACATACGACGTCACGAGGCGAGGTATCGGAAACCAAAGTTTAGTGTCGTTTCCGAAGTACGACTCGTAGACACATTGATAACCGATCGGAGGCGACCAGGGGCGCTGATCTGCAGTCGGAATCAAGTAAGTCACACCAACAGCATTGCAAGCCGTGAGTAAAGCTTCCACAGACTTCACGGTTGAGCGCGTCTTCTCGGTCTTCGCCCAAGACTGGGTCACAACACACCGAAACTTATCCCCAGGGAGTGCGGATTCACGTTAAAAAATCCCCATACCACTATAACGCGTAGGGACCTTCGGGCGAGAATCCCCTTCTTCCGACTCCACGTTGGCTCGGTTAGGTTGTCTGGACCGAGTTCGCCTCGAAGGAGCGACTCGGGATTGATCAGACGGCAAGGTTCTGCGACTTGACACCCTCGGGTCGTTCATTACTTCCGCGGTGAAATTACCGTCGTCTTCGCCCCTAAACTCCCTTTCGGTGTCGACGACCAGTAACCTCTGCGCTAGGTCGAGACCTGCGGAATCCCTTAACGCCTCGCGATGCCTTAGATCGAAGTCGTCTAAAGGCTCGCCGGTGGTCTCATCCCGGGCCGGGCTCGAGGATGTAGCAACTGCCTTCCCTTTCTCTTCAACCGACAACCTCTTCCGTGGACACATCTTACTAACGGCGAAGTATATATTCTACAAGCTAGCCTAGAGAGAGAAACTAGAGAGAAGGGAGAGAAGGAATACCTGAAGAAACGGAGAAGTGATGGGAATGAATAAGGGGAACGCATTTATTGGAAAAGAGGGGAGGCGTGATTCTCGAAGGAATTAATTAGGTCTACTTGGACCTAGTTGGGCCTAAAGGCCGCTCCTGACTGTTCATATTCCGAATTAAATGGGCTTCAATTCCCGAGAAACTCCTGGAGCCCGCGACTGTTCACATTCCCACCGAACTCCGAGCCAACGACCGCGAACACTCTTGGAATGAACCCGAGGTCGGCATTGGCAGACTGGACTGGCTCCCAGTCGACAGCCCGCCTCCGCGAATGAGGCAATATCTGAACTCGCGAATCCAGAGACCGCTTTTCAGGAAAACGATGCAGCGCACTAACTGACCCCGTTACTCAATGAGCCGACTTAACTAAATCCGCTCCGATTAGGATCATAACTCGACAGCGGATCTGGGGGACTTACTGTAGGTGGTGGAATGCACTTCCCCACCAAGCCCATATGATAACGGGCTTAGCCCAAACAAACTCAGGCCCGACAGGAGAGCTCTCCAGCGATTAGCAGTGAGTCGAGTTTAGCTCGGCTAATCACAGTGGTTAACCGAGTTAAGGACGCTTAGACAAGGCGCTTAGATTATCGGGCCGACTAAGGCTCACTTGGCGAAAGCCCGCGAAGGCCGCGACGGATCTGCTAGGTCAAGGTGCAATCACTATAAAAGAGAGAAAGGAGCTAACGAGAGAGGCATCCGAAATCATGCTCACACTCAAGGCGGCTTGAACTAGGGTTTTCATTCCTCTGTTTCTTTCCCGACTTGTACGGCGCGGCCGAGCTCTCAGCGAGACTTCGCTCCGCCTCTCTTTTCCCTATTTGTAAACTGAACTCTCTTTAATACAAACACACTCTTGACTCAAAATAGTAAACAAACGCTTTTGGAAAAACCCACCGACGAGTCCTGTCACTCAATCACTGAACAGACCGAACTCGGTTCAAACATGAACCGTCTCTGTGAAATCTAGGGATCGTTGTTTCAGGTGCTTAATTTTGTTCAGCAAGAAGACGAAGGTGGGTTTCATTGTGTTCTTTTCTGTCTTCATGGATTTCTTTTGCGGTATGGTAGTTTGATGTGTATCCGTCTTGAGTTTCTGTAGTTTGTAGTCGATGGTGTGTTCTATCTGAGTTGAATGAGGTGCTGACGAGAGAGCTAGCAGATGATGTTTACTCAGTTAAGATTATGGTTACTTCAATGAAGACAGTGTTGAGCTTTACATTGAGAAGGTTGCCAACAGAGGTCTCTGTGCCATTTCGAGGAAGAGTCTCTCCGTTACAAGCTCATCGGTGGTGTTGTCGTTCCCAGGTATAGTCATGCTTATTTGTAATGCTTACTGCAAAATATTATTTATCAACTGATACTTGATCTTGTTCACATACTAGAAGAGAGAGTGTGATTAGTTTAGTTTTCAACCCATTTCCTTCATAGGGACATTTGCAATTTCTCTAAGGTTGTTGTGTAGTTGTCATTTCTCTTACTGATTTTGGAATGCTATTGTGTTGAATAAGGCTTGCTATGGTGTCTTGAGATTCGTCATGGAGAATGGAGCTAAGGGATGTGAGGTGAGTACACATCCCGATTCTCTAATTTTTTTATTTCTTCTTCACATAAAAGTCTCAGACATTGTTTTAAAAATGCTTACTTAGGTAATTGTAAGTGGAAAGCTTGGTGCAGCACGTGCCAAATCCATGAAATTCAAGGACGGTTACATGGTCACCCTACCAAAGAATACATCGACTCCGCAGTCAGACAAACATGTTCTGCTTAGTCAAGTGAAAGTTCGATACATTAACAACTTTGATCCTTAGAAAAATTAACACATCTATATACATCATCCTCTGACTTTGACCGGTTGCATCCATGGAAAGAATAATAGTTAATCCCTTGAAAATTTTTGATGCTAGATTTATGTGCTTTTTACCTCAGATTGGAGAAGTTTGATTGTACAGAAGTTATCAATTCTGCGGAGAATATTCTGGAGAAGAGGAAGATGAACCAAGCTTTGCTGGCAAATCACACCCTCTGGATGCTTAAGGCTGGAATATCAAGCTTCAGCTCTTATGAATAATATTCTCTCCATGTCAGATTGCCTGATATCCAAGCCATTACAGTCTACGTTAGAATAACAACTCAATCACTTCTCTCACAGTTTCTCCAGAAACTACGCTCATATGTACAGGTTACTTGTGAATGTGGTTTGTTTGTGTTCGGTAAACTATGGTTAGGCTTGCAATCTAGGAGGCTTGCAAGGCTCGGGATAATAGATTATCTGATTCGTAAATATTTAAGAATTTGATTTGAATGAATGTATGTTAAGAGTAAAAAAACTGTAACATGGTTTTGATTCATAAAAAAAACACATGAACATTTTTAGCAAAAAAAAAAGCACATGAACACTAGTTTATGATTTTGATGTTAGAGTGATATGAATGAACAAAAAAATAAAAAAAAGCACATGAAGACCAGTTTATGATTTTGATGCAAGAGTGATATGAATGAACGAGTAGTAAATTGTAAGTATTTTGAATAATAAAATTCTTAAAATCATTTATTTATTTTTGTACATGTTAGAGCAGCTATTAAGCTACTGGTGAGGAATAAACAAGAACAAATTTAGTGATTTTACGGTTTAATGACTTGATGTAATCTAAATTTTTTGTTTGGATTCATTTTTATGAAATTAGTTATTAATTTAAGATATGACAGTGATTAATGTTAGGATTATTAATATCTCAGTGGCATTATATTGTAATTGCAAATTTTAAGGGTGAATTTATATTTGTTACTAGGGGATGTCCGCGCTCTGCGCGGAATTTAATAACTTATCCCAAAATATTTTAATGTTTGTTTGTAATTGTAGTTATTTGTTTGTTTTGCTTGATAACTTTGGTTCATCAAGAATGGGGGAAAATGGCAATGTTCATTATTGTGAAGAATGGTTGTGTAGTGTGTTGTGGTTGACCAATCTTCCAGCTTGTATGTTCAAAATTTATGTTATAATCTGTGATATTTTTTTTAATTTATGTAAATCATGGCCTTACAATATGTGTTGTTTTCAGAGATGACTTCTCCATTGTTTAACTTATTGTGGTTGGTGTAGTGGGTTGGGATATTTTTGGGTTTCTCGTGAGGATTTGGTGGTGAGAGTTCGAATTGGGAATAAATTCAGTGATTGTAAAGTATGATTAGTTATGAGATTTCTTGGAATTTTAAGAGTAAGACTGATTATGAGATTTCTTGGAATTAAGGTTCCTGTTATATTACTAGGGTGTTTTGAAGCATTTGGCAGCATAAATATTGATGGACTCCTTGTTTTTATAGTAAGAATATAACCATTAGTGGGTTTATATTGGTTTAGATTGGATGTGTCTAACTAATAACCCTTCAACTATGATTTTGTTCCTCGTTGGCTTAGTTTATGTGTCTGGTTTTCCCATATGCTGTTACCAAATGGGGGTGGATATAATCGTCATAAGTTTTTTTTTAATGGGATGCTCTGTTTCTGGTGTTACTATTCTAAAATATATACCATCGTTTTAATGTTGGTGGTGTTGGGTTCCTTCTATATAGAGGAAACTCATTAGGTTTGGTTGGTGATAATCAAACTTGGAAGTTGAGCCATTGATATTAGTCCATGAGATTAGTATTGGGCCTCAGGGTTAGTGAGACACTATATAAAGTCGCTTGACCTAATTTTCGAAGGTAGACATAAGAAAAAAAGTTTAGACCAAAAGAGAGAAAGAGGCAGAATTTTGTATGTGTTTGTCAAGGAAGATTTAAAGGGTACATATTCCTTTTGAACTGATATTTTGTGGGAAGCTTCTTCAGTCAGTGGGTTAAAGGTTCACCGAAGGAATTTGGATTTCAACGGTTGGATCTTCTGTTGTCTGGGTTTTCGTGAAGTTGGTCGTCACAGTTCTTCAACAGTGTTGTCTTGAGCGTTTGGTAAATCCCACGGTGAGATCTTCTCTGTTTGAGCTGAAATTTGGCAGAGATATTGTTGACTTGTTTATCTTGGATTTGTACGGTATAATTAGTCTCTGGTTGCTGGAATCCTTGTGAGCTGAGGTCGTTTGGTTACTGCCAGTTTTGAAGCTTTGTGTTACTCTCTCTTCTTGTTGTTCTTGTGTTGGAGACAACTATTTGTAGCTGAGTCTCTGTTCTGTTCAGGTTGTTGAACAGGGAGGACGTGGTTGTACTCACATACATTTATATAGTGGATTGTTGAGTGGACTACGGTCCTGTGGATTTTCATTCTCACATCGAGGAGGTTGTCCACGTAAAAAGTGTTTGTCTCATTTAGCTTCTGCTTATACTATATCCTACTATCGTCGAAGTATTTTTCTCACAGGTTCCCACAAGGTTAGGGGAACTTGAATAAATCTTCCGCTGCGCCGTGTCCCGTTTTCCCCAACAAAGTGGTATCAGAGCTTCTGGTTTTCTTAGAGCTTTGGGTTTGATAACTTCGAGTTATTGTCGCTTGTGTGAATGATGGAGAATATGGTAACAAACATGGGCAGGATGATAATCTTGAATGGTGATAATTATCATCTATGGAAGGGAAAGATGGAGGATCTTCTCTTTGTTAAAGAATTACATCTTCCGGTGTTTCAGAAGAAGAAGCCTGATAACAAGAGCGATGATGAATGGAAGCTGCTGCATCGCCAAGTGTGTGGGTTAATAAGGCAGTGGGTAGATGATAATGTGTTGCATCATATTGAGACTGAGATTGATGCTCGTTCTTTGTGGTTGAAGCTGGAGCACTTATATGCTGAAGACCGGAAATAACAAGATGTACATGATCAAGAAGTTGATTGAGATGAGGTATCAGGAGGGAACTCCAATGACAGATCATCTGAATGAGTTTCAGGGATTGCTCAACAAGTTGTGTGATATGGGCATCAGGTTTGATGATGAGATTCACGGTCTGTGGTTTCTAGGTACTTTACCAGAATCTTGGGAGGTTTTCAGAATATCTCTTTGTAACTCCGCGTCGGAAAGTGTTGTTTCGATGGATTCAGTGAATAACAGTGTTCTTAATGAGAAAGCAAGAAGGCAGTCAAATGCTAGTACTTCGCGTTCAGATGTCTTGGTTACTGAGTCAAGGGGGAGAAGTTCACATAGAGATTCCAAGAGCGAAAAGAACAAGAGCAGGAGCAAGTCTAATTAATTTGCAAACTTGGAGTGTTATTTCTGTCATAAGAAAGGGCACATGAAGAAGGATTGCTGGAAGTTGAAAAACAAACAGCAATGTAATCAAAAAGAAAAGGTGGATCGGTTGACCATCACCGAAGATCAGTTTCTCATTCTTCTTGAGGGTGACGCCATTAAGGTCGCATGCTACATCATAACGGGATTTGTTTTCTACCTATACTACGGGTAATTATGGTTCCGTGAAGATGGGGAATGATGGTTTGGCTCAGATTGTTGGCATTGGTAATATTTGCTTGGAGAATAGTCTTGTGACTAGGCTGGTGCTTAAGAATGTTAAGCATGTTCCTGATATTCGGATGAATCTGATATCAACGGGAAGACTTGATGATGATCTACAGTTTGCACGGTGGTGGTAAATGGAAGCTCTCTCGTGGTTCTTTGATTGTGTCTCAAGGTGAGAAGTCTTCATCTTTCTATTGGATGCAGTCTAAGGTCTCCAAAGATTCTATTAATGAGGTGAAGAATTATAACGCCATGGAGTTATGGTATAAGAGACTCAGTCACATGAGTGAGAAGGGAATGGTTGTGTTGTCTAAGAATGAGGTAATTCCAGGAATCTCTGGTCTGCACCTGCAGAAAGTGTTCGCATTGCTTTGCGAGAAAACAATACAGGGTATCTTTCAAGCCTTCTGCGCCTTCTAGGAAAACCGAGGCACTGTTTTTGGTACACTCAGATGTGTGTGGTCCAATGAAGACAAGATCTCTAGGCGGCGGATCATATTTTGTGACTTTCATTGATGATCATTCATAGAAGTTGTGGGTATTTCTTATGAGGACGAAAGATCAGGTTCTTGGATATTTCAAGCATTTTGTGGCGTTGGTTGAGAGACAAACAGGGAAGAAGCTGAAGTGTATCCGCAATGATAATGGTGGAGAGTATTCTGGACCATTTGATGCTTATTGCAAAGAGCATGGTATAAGGCATTAGTTCACGTCGCCTAAGACTCCACAGTTGAATGGGTTGGCTGAAAGGATGAACAGAACAATTTTCGAGAGGATGAGATGTTTGATCTCACAGTTAGGCTTATCGATGACTTTCTGGGGAGAAGCTTTGAATACAGTGGTTCATGTGCTAAATTTGTCACCGAGTACTCCATTGGAGGGTGATATTCCAGAGATGGTTTGGGCTGGTAAGAATGTTTCTTACATTCACTTGAGGGTCTTTGGGTGTAAGGCATTTGTTCATATTCCCAAGGATGAGAGATCGAATCTTGAGATGAAGTCATGGCAGTGTGTGTTCATCGGTTATGGTCATGGCAGTGTGTGTTCATCGGTTATGGTCAGAAAAAGCTCATAAGGAGCAGAGATGTTGTGTTCATGGAAGATCAAACGATAAAGGACATTGACAAGTCCAGAAATCCAACTCAGGTTTTTGAGGGTTTGATCGATACAGAGGCTACTCCTTCTACATCGGTCCACAGTGAGGTTGAGGTTGAAGTTCAGGATAATACACTGTTGGGGTCAAAATCGGTACGACGGAATTAATAGCCAAAACTTTCCATAAAAAACACTAAATACGTTATATAAAATCCGGGAAATCGTTTTATAAAACTCGAGGAATCATTTTATAAAACTCGAGAAGTCGTTTTATAAA